GTAGGTAGATAGATAGATAGATCGATAGATAGATCGATCGATAGGTAGGTAGGTAGGTAGATAGGTAGATAGATCGATCGATAGATAGATAGATCGATAGATACATCGATCGATCGATAGATAGATGGGTAGATAGATAGAAAGAAAGAAAGATAGATAGATAGAAAGAAAGATAGATAGATAGATCGATAGATAGGTTTGTAGGTAGATAGATAAATAGATCGATAGATAGATCGATGGATAGGTAGGTAGGTCGGTAGATAGGTAGATAGATCGATCGATAGATAGACAGATCAATCGAGATAGGTAGGTAGATAGATAGATAGATAGATCGATCGATCGATAGATAGGTAGGTAGATAGATAGATAGATCGATTGATAGATATGTAGGTAGGTAGGTAGGTAGGTAGATAGGTAGATAGATCGATCGATAGATAGATCGATCGACAGGTAGATTGATCGATAGATAGGTAGGTAGATAGGTAGGTAGGTAGATAGATAGATCGATCGATAGATCGATCGATAGATAGATAGTTAGATCGACAGATAGATAAGCACATATTGGTGTCATATGTCTGTGGAAACCAACACCCAGTGGCTTGCCAGCTCATTTTGCTTCTTGAACCCTCGGACCCTCAGTTGGTGATGCTAGGATCCATGTTTGGGAGAATGCCAATCCCTGGGTGAATAGCTGCATTGATACCCTTGGTCATTTCTCCTTGAGTCCTCTGGTTTATATCACTCAACTTCAACATCAATGTTATTATTGATATCATCAGATACAATTGATATCATCATATCTGGTTGGTGGTTTCAAACATTTTTTATTTTCCATAATATATGGAATAATCCTTCCCATTGACTAATATTTTTCAGAGGGGTAGGTCAACCACCAACCAGATATCTATACTTAGATCATTTCAATGTCCTATTGATATCATCAGATACGAATAAAAACATTACCCTCTGGTAATTTAACATAGCTATGGAAAGATCCACCATTTTTAATGGGAAAATCCACTATTAATGGTCATTTTCAATAGCTATTTTGACATAACCAGAGGGTATAGGAATTTCATAAAATAAAATCTAAGTATTCATAGAGTATACATCTAAGTATTCACAAAATGTCCTATTGATATCATCATTTACCCTCTGTTAATTCATAAAATAGCCGTCTGACGTGACCGCATAAAATTTGATTCGAATACTCCTCTAAGATTGATCCAGCGGATCTTGAAGTTTTTTGGAACCACAACAAATATGGCAATTTCTAATAAATACCTAGACCATTAGATATATTGGAATATGGAAGTGGTCATTTAGAAATTGGAATCATATATATGTTGATAATCCTAATGATCCTAATGATCATTAGATCATGGAAATTTGGTGAATCAGCTATATGTTTCAATAACATATCATATATATATATATTATCAGCATGAATCGGCCTATATTCATCTAAATTTCCCATCATCCAATCATCCTTTTCCTTGCGAAGGAGATCTTCGGGGTCGCCTGGGCAGAAGTTTGGCAATGGTGTTCTTTAGGAACCAGTTTTGTATAGAAAGGTAGCCCTCCAAAATCCATACTTTAGTGTATACATATCATATATATATATACACACATTGGATCCGTTTCATGAATTGGGGCCCAGTCGTGGGGGGTACTTCATATGGGGACGGGATTATGAAAAAACATGGGAATTTCTTTGTGGCTTTTGTGGCTTTTCGTAGCTTTTGGCTGCTTGGCCTTTATGGCTTTTGTCTTCTTGGCTTTTCGGCTTTTATTCTTTCTGGTTTCTTGGGAATATGCTGGAACTTTTGCACCGACAACGATGGAGACATTAGCAAACACAAAAAGACAGCAATACTGCTAAGAGGGAAAAGAATAACAACACTGTTAAGAAGGACAAGATCCAACATCAAACAACAAAAACAACAGCACGAATCTTAGCCCAAAGTTCTGCAAATACCAGTAAGATACGTCAACAACAAACAACATCAGGGATTCAACCTGAGAAATAACGCTGCAATCATTTTGAAAACAACAAGAGACAACCAAACGACCATGGAAACGAAGAAAAAGAACCCAAGATCAGCAGTCCACTAGAAAGGCCCCCATGTTCGTGCCACGTTCACGGCGCTGAATCAAACTGACGGAAACACCAAGGGAAGTCAGTCAAGCCTAAATGAACCTTAGACCAATTCGAAATAAACGCTAAGCCAATCCTAAATAGACCACCCAAATCCCCGAAACAACGCTAAACTATCCCTAAGCCAACCCTAAATGAACTCTAAAACGAAGCGGAATAAACCTACTGGTAGAAACAAACAGATTCGCCAAGACCCTGCAAATATTGTGCCAGCAGAAATCTCATCCCAAAACCCTGCATTCAGTCTCGAATTTTGCTAGAAGGACACGTGCAGCTGAAAGAGGCTGTTTTCATGCCGCAACTACCATGCAAATGAGACATTTCACTTTTCAACATGTAGCAAAATACCATGCAAACTGCAGGTGTTAGCTTCAAAATGTTGCAAATGCCGCGCAAACAAATGACACATGAAATATCTCAGGTCCTAAATGCTGCAGCTAATACTGTGCAAGGCACAGCTTCTAGTTCCAAAATGCTCAAAATGCGCAACAAACGGGAGATTCAAGGCCCAAAACGCTGCAAAGATCTTTTTTGGCTCCAAAATGCTGCAAGACTTGCAAGGAAACTGCCCGACCGGAAAACAACAAGATTTCGTCAAAAATAAATAGGTAATTTCCGCAAAAAAGCTGCAACCATTCAATAAATCAAGCATGTTGGGGATTATTAAATGAGTAAACATGTTTTAACCAAAGAAAAACTGTTTACCAACGTAGCACCTTGAATTGCCAGTAAAGAACCGGCTTCCATCCATTAGAATCTATGTCTTGGCAGCTGGGACCCATGAAGTGAGGCGCCAAGCCAAATGTCCTGAGAATTGTTTTTTAATGAGGAAAATATCACTGATGCATGATGTATGTCTATGAAGATTGCTTGTGTATTCTAATTTCCAGCAATTTTCAAGAACTACGATGGGGGGAATGACGGTTGCTGTGAAGCCGACATGAGGACACTGACCGACATCCATAGGAAGGGATACTGTACTTCTTCCAGCGATCTTTTCAAAGGTATGCAGCCAGAAATATGAACAGAGGGGCAGTTAGTTTCACTGGAAATCCCAAAGCAAGAATGGATGAGGAAGACGACTTTGCCTGACCCCCCTTCAATTAACTCATTGAGTAGAGCAGGTTGATGGATTATACCAAGTCGTCTATCCTACGCCAAACCATGACTAGCGAACCACCAGTAACCAGCACAACTAACAAACCATCATTTTTTTTACCCATTAAAGCAATCACCATTTTCCTTCTTTGGATTAACCTGTATGAACGTATGAACCATCACGTTTTGTCCAAAAGCGATATTTTTGGCAGCCTATTTTTTCAGATAAATCCACATGCCCCCGATGTCCCCATTTATTGCCCCCAAAATGTTCACCACCCTCTACTGGCCTTGGTGACTAACCAACATTTTTATGACAGTACCCGGTCAGTTATGATTGGACGGTTTGCAGGTAACCACTATTTTGACAATCAATACGTGTTTTATTGGTTATCAAAGGAAGGACCAACAATTAACTAACATGGTTCTAGAAGCTAGATGTCGTTTATAACTTTTAGTTATGTACTATCTATCGTGCATTATCCCGTTATACCTCATATTATTAAACAATATATATATAATTATATATATATCATTCCAACTACAGTTAGATCACCAACTATGGTTCTCACTAACATAATATATATACATATATACATATATATATATACAATTACTGACACATCATCAATGGAGCCATCTTTTCTATCCCGGAGTCTCCATCTCTGAGTTCGGACGTGGGGCACACGCAGAGCCTGCGCCGCAACCGCGGCACCGGTAGCACCACCACCGCGCAGCTGCTACTTTCAGCCAGGAGGGCGGGTGACCAGATGGGAAAGATCACCAGAATTTCATGGGATTTTCCCAATTTCTGGGGCAATCAGCCACTTCCATTGCTAAGTTTTGCCCCAGAAATATGAAAACTTAAGAAGGAGCAGGAGCATCTAAGAAATATATTGATATGCTAAGTGCTAGGAGCATCTCTTTTGATCAAATATGAAATCAAGGGACCACAGTTTCATGTAGGAAAACAAGTAAGATCCCATGAATATCCCATGGATTGAAAATTCACCAGAATGGAGATTTGCCATGGGATATGATGAATGGATATTGATGGGAACTGGACTTCTGAATGGTATTCCACCAGCCCAAGATGATCCAAGATGGATGTCACTGATGTCACCATCATGTTGAGAAACCGAAAAAAAACGCCAGGAACCGCCAGGGTATTCCGACGGTGCAAGCAGAGCAAATCCTACCTGCTTTCACGCCGGATGACACCATATCGCTGGGCCGGGTGGACACGAACGGCAGCAACTTGGCTGATTTCGCTGGTGCTGTTTTCCGTTCAACGTCCATGTGGTCTCATGTTCAATGGGGGGTCCAAAGCGACATGATGTTCCCCAACGGAATGAAGATTTTGATTAATGAACTGCAACACCAGTCTCTCCATTTTTTCCGAGTTGTTTTTGTTAACAGGGTTTTGGCCTAAAATGAAATAGATCATCAAAACTACGAGGCTGGATAATGTCACTTAAATTCAGCTGTTGGGTGATATTGGATCCTTTGACCCTATTTTTCAATCCCTATAGGCCCTATCACCAGAAAGATGATTCCAACTGATCGATCTGATTGTTTTTCAGGACTTTTTTTGGGGGGGTTTAAAAACCACCCTCCCACTATCCCGCTATATCCCGATTCGTTCGCGGGCGACCTTTGACAGGTCAGGGCAGCTCGGACGAGTTGGATGCTGACCGCACGGCGTTGACCGAATTCTTTTCGGAGCGTGGCTGTGGTTTCATTGGGCTGTCATGGTGGGTCCATGTGGTTGTCGTCATGCTTTGGTTTTGCTTCGGCCCTGAGTCTATCATCAGTTTCTATTGATCATCATGATCTGGGGCAAAATGCGTCGCGCACGGTGCAAACTGCCGATGGGAATTTCGGCAAAACGTGGATTTTTAGCACCCCCCCCAGTAGACAGAAAAGTGGAAACCTTGAAATTATGGGGGACACATCATCAATAACATCAGGAAAAGCTGTTCTTTCATTTTCTTTCTTCTACAAGAACCAGTAGTTTGTGAGTGAGGTTCTAGCTATGGCCCCCAAAACGATCGAAAAGTAATTGATCACTGTTTTGTAGGATTTCACTCTTCAGTCTTTTGGGTTGCCGCGGACACCGTTCCAGGAGACCGAGAGCGCCTTTCTCCGACGCTTTAAACGGCTGAATCGCTGGAAGAAAACGCAGTGGTGGCTACAGTCCAATCAGTTGCACAACAGCAGACCAGGGCGACATTTGCGGATCAGCAACAGTTGGCAGGTGTTTTTTTCTGGCACCTGGGTGAAGGTCTGGAGATTCCGAAAAAAAATTAGAGTCAGAGGGGCTCACTGTCACAGGTAAAGTGTCAGAATACATGTCAGATCAAATGGCATAGAGTGTCAGATCGAATGTCAGACTATGTGTCAGATAAAACGGCAAACACAGTGTGAGATAGAATTTCAAAATACATATCAGAGAGAATGTCAGAATATATATATATATATAAATATATCAGGTAGACTGTCAGAAAATATGTGAGACAGAATATAAAATTTGGTGGGGATCACTGGAAGAAAAGTCATTCTGTTTGATGGCCTATTTTCTGGGCTAGTTTTCATTGGGAGTCAAAGTTGGGACCAACGATGGCCGGATTCTCACCACAAATTTCAGGCTTTTGTACTGCAGAAGCCAAGAATTTTATTGATATCCCACTTTTTGAGCCATATCCATAATCATATCCATAATCATATCCATAATCATATCCATAATCATATCCATAATCATATCCATAATCATATCCATAATCATATCCATAATCATATCCATAATCATATCCATAGTCATATCCATAATCATATCCATAATCATATCCATAATCATATCCATAATCATAGCCATAATCATAGCCATAATCATATCCATAATCATATCCATAATCATAGCCATAATCATATCCATAATCATATCCATAATCATATCCATAATCATATCCAAAATCATATCCATAATCATATCCATAATCATATCCATAATCATATCCATAATCATATCCATAATCATATCCATAATCATATCCATAATCATATCCATAATCATATCCATAGTCATATCCATAATCATATCCATAATCATATCCATAGTCATATCCATAATCATATCCATAATCATATCCATAATCATATCCATAATCATATCCATAATCATATCCATAATCATATCCATAATCATATCCATAATCATATCCATAATCATATCCATAATCATATCCATAATCATATCCATAATCATATCCATAATCATATCCATAATCATATCCATAATCATATCCATATCTATCCATAATCATATCCATAATCATATCCATCATAATCATATCCATAATCATATCCATAATCATATCCATAATCATAATCATATCCAAAATCATATCATAATCATATCCATAATCATATCCATAATCATATCCATAATCATATCCATAATCATATCCATAATCATATCCATAATCATATCCATAAATCATATCATAATCATATCCATTCATATCCATAATCATATAATCATATCCATAATCCATATCCATAATCATATCCATAATCATATCCATAATCATATCCATATATCCATAATCATATCCATAATCATATCCATAATCATATCCATAATCATATCCATAATCATATCCATAATCATATCCATAATCATATCCATAACCATATCCATAACCATATCCATAATCATATCCATAATCATATCCATAATCATATCCATAATCATATCAATAATCATATCCATAATCATATCCATAATCATATCCATAATCATATCCATAATCATATCCAAAATCATATCCATAATCATATCCATAATCATATCCATAATCATATCCATAATCATATCCATAATCATATCCATAATCATATCCATAATCATATCCATAATCATATCCATAGTCATATCCATAATCATATCCATAATCATATCCATAGTCATATCCATAATCATATCCATAATCATATCCATAATCATATCCATAATCATATCCATAATCATATCCATAATCATATCCATAGTCATATCCATAATCATATCCATAATCATATCCATAATCATATCCATAATCATATCCATAATCATATCCATAATCATATCCATAATCATATCCATAATCATATCCATAATCATATCCATAATCATATCCATAATCACATCCATAATCATATCCATAATCATATCCATGATCATATCCATGATCATATCCATAATCATATCGATAATCATATCCATAATCATATCCATAATCATATCCATAACCATATCCATAATCATATCCATAATCATATCCATAATCAAATCCATAATCATATCCATAACCATATCCATAATCATATCCATAACCATATCCATAATCATATCCATAATCATATCCATAATCATATCCATAATCATATCCATAACCATATCCATAATCATATCCATAGTCATATCCATAATCATATCCATAATCATATCCATAATCATATCCATAATCATATCCATAATCATATCCATAATCATATCCATAATCATATCCATAATCATATCCATAATCATATCCATAATCATATCCATAATCATATCCATAGTCATATCCATAATCATATCCATAATCATATCCATAATCATATCCATAATCATATCCATAATCATATCCATAATCATATCCATAATCATATCCATAATCATATCCATAATCATATCCATAATCATATCCATAATCATATCCATAATCATATCCATAATCATGTCCATAATCATATCCATAATCATATCCATAATCATATCCATAATCATATCCAAAATCATATCCATAATCATATCCATAATCATATCCATAATCATATCCATAATCATATCCATAATCATATCCATAATCATATCCATAATCATATCCATAACCATATCCCTATCAGATCCTAATCAGATCCATATCATATCCATAGTCATATCCATAAATAATTCCAGAAATCATATCCATAATCTGTCCTAATCATATCATAATCCATATCCATAATCATATCCTAATCATATCCATAGTCATATCCAGAATCATATCCATACTCATATCCATAATCATATCCATAAATCATATCCATAATCATATCCATAATCATATCCATAATCATATCCATAATCATATCCATAATCATATCCATAATCATATCCATAATCATATCCATAACCATATCCATAACCATATCCATAATTATATCCGAGAATAGTCCTTTCCTAGGTTCGGGCTCAACGGGCCCGACGGGCCCGACGGGCCCAACGGGCCCAACGGGCCCAACGGGCTCCAACGGGCCCCAACGGGCCCCAACGGGCCTGCTTCACGGGCTCAACGAGCCCGACGGGCACGACGGGCCCAACGGGCCCAACGGGCTCGACGGGCTCGACGGGCTCGAGAGGCCGTGGCACTGAATGAACCCATCATCCCTTCTGGTGCTGGCGTTACATTTCAGCCAAGCCCCAGATAGCATCATTTCTGAGAAATAGAGTTTCAGGATGCAGTTGAGCATGTGTTCATGTTATGTTGGTTCCACAGTTTTCAGCCACAGCTCTACTCGATTCCTTATATTTCTATGCTGACCTCAGATCCATAGTTTTCATCCAACAACATTGGGAAAACAGACACATCAACCAAGAGGTGAATCCCAAGTTTCCAGCCATTGCGCAATAAATCCTAGGGCCTAGGGTTTGAGACTTTGCAGTGTTCAGGTCATTGGATTCCTGAAAAGTCAGCGTGGGAGAGAATAATTGTTTTACAATGACCTTGTTGAGACAAACCATCAACAAGACTCGTTTCACAATGGACTTGTTGAGTTGAAATCCTGGGAATGTGCTTCGCGCCACAACGGCGTACACTTTTTCGACCTCTCAACTCCCAAAAGTGGTCCCCACCTGGTGCGTTTTATGCATTTTGACTTGCAAATGTGCTTCGCGCCACAACGGCGTTCATTGTCGCTTCTCAACGGCCAGCTGGCTCCGCCACCCGCCGCTTTAGTCGAGCCTACTTTTCGACCTCTCAACTCCCAAAAGTGGTCCCCACCTGGTGCGTTTTGTCGAGTGAACTTGCCGCCAACAATGAAATTGTTGAGATGAAATCCTGGGGTCTGAGGTTTTGACATGTAACCTGTAAGTGAACTTGCTGCCCACAGTTAAAAACTTGTTGAGACACACCATCAAGAAAGCAAACCGTTGCACCATGAACTTGTTGAGACAAACCACTCCAGAGGTGAATCCGAGGTTTCCAGCCATCGCGCGCTTTTCAAGCATCAGATGCGGTTTTTTTTTCGAAAAAAAAGTTGAAAGCTTCAGATGCAAGGTTTTTGTCGAAAAACCAGTTGAAAGCTTCAGATGCAAGGTTTTTTTTCCGAAAAAACAGTTGAAAGCTTCAGATGCAAGGTTTTTTCGAAAAAACAGTTGAAAGCTTCAGATGCAAGGTTTTTTTTTAGTTAAAAGCTTCAGATAGAAGGTTTTCGCGAAAAAACAGTTGAAAGAAGGCTTCAGATGCAGGTTTTTTTTTGAAAAAGCAGTTGAAAGCTTCAGATGCAAGGTTTTTTTCGAAAAAACAGTTGAAAGCTTCAGATGCAAGGTTTTCTCGAAAAAACAGTTGAAAGCTTCAGATGCAGGTTTTTTTTTGAAAAAGCAGTTGAAAACTTCAGATGCAAGGTTTTTTTCGAAAAAAAAAGTTGAAAGCTTCAGATGCAAGGTTTTTGTCGAAAAACCAGTTGAAAGCTTCAGATGCAAGGTTTTTTTCGAAAAAAAACAGTTGAAAGCTTCAGATGCAAGGTTTTTTCGAAAAAACAGTTGAAAGCTTCAGATGCAAGGTTTTTTCGAAAAAAACAGTTGAAAGCTTCAGATGCAAGGTTTTTTCGAAAAAAAAGTTGAAAGCTTCAGATGCAAGGTTTTTTTTCGAAAAAAAAAAGTTGAACGCTTCAGAAACAGGATGTGAAAGATTCAACAGGATGTGCGTGTGTTGGCCTGCATCTCAGGTGCCTATGATTTCAGCCACTTGAAACATGTAAGTTGTAAGATGCAAGGTAACCTCACATCCCCTAGTTTTCAGCCACGGGAACATATCAGTACTTTTCCTACTTTGGCTAAATTTTTGGGGTTGGGGTCATGTTTCCAGCCCATGGCTTTCAGTCTTGGTACCTACCCTTTCAGCCAGCATATTGGCTGGAATGGGGGCTGTAGACCCTAAGAATTCCATCCATCGGGG